AAGTGGCAACACCAGTCTTGGATTGAACTTCAACAATGATTGACTGCTGAACAAGAAAACGTTTATGAGCTTGCATACACACCCTTCTCCCACTTCGCTAAGACTCCTTCTGGATGATACAAATGTAGAGAATTACTGGGTACAATGTGGCACTCCAGTCTAGAGATTTGAAAGAAAAGAGTTCAAGCTTGGACTCTTAAAACACTACAGTAAATGAGGAAACTCACTGCAGCTGCTGACACTTTTCTTGCAGATTAAGTTCTGTATTTCATCTTGTTTGCAAGACTTTAGCTTTCAATTGAAATATTTAAGTTAATAAATAAGGGGGGTTTGTATTGTAAATAGGATGAAGGAGGACTGATTAAGGTTTGTTGCTCACCAAGTACCATTTATTCAGCTCGCTTCTTTATTCTAAAGAAGCTCTTAGAGATTCCAAATGCACGCTGTACTGCTGTGCTGAACAATCTTTAAAAGCCAATAAAAAGCTGTTGTTCTTCTGCACAACAAGGCTAATCAATCCCACAATCCCACAAACAGTTCTTTAGAAACTTCTAGTCCAATATAAAAGCAGTAATGAGAAAAGCTGCACTTGGTTTGCAAGTGAGAAAAGACTAACAACAATATTAACATTTTCTTCGCAAACAATTCTTTATTCGCTTCAGAGAATCTGATGTTCTGGATAAAATCATCACTGTTCTTTCAGGCCACAGAAATTCATCAAAATAATGGCAATATCAGACACACTCTGTCACGCCGGGCCCCTGTTGTATGCTATGTACGAGAAGATGAAGCCAGTCTTTATTCATGCTGACAAGTTTCGTTCTGCCAGTCATAACTTGACAGGAGGAGCAGGCTTTAACACGCCCCACCACTAGATGGCGTTACTAACTACAGAAAGGAGCCGCATGGAATATGATGCTTTTCTGAGCAATGTCTTGCCAAGCAGTTTGTGCGGATGGAGGGTGGAGTATCCTATATAAGTTAAGAAACCGAGAAACAAAAGTTTGAGCTATCCATGTGACCGCATTAATAACTTGGCCAGTGCCCCTCTACCAAACAAAAGAATTATTCTTCATTGCTTTAATATTGTAAGCACATTTTTGGAAATATGTTACGTTTGACAGAACCATGAGTTAAGACCCACACACACCCACTATTAATGTGCAGCACATTGCACTGAATACTAACCTCTGTGGCTGAGGTTCTGCTGTTGCATTTCTGTTATTACTGATCTCTTATTCCCTCAGCGCTTGACAAGCAGATTGTCTCCATCTGGAGGGCTTATTCATACATTCAAGAAGTGTGTTTTATACTGTAGAACTTGGGGTCCAAACGCTAATTTCTTTTACTTCGCTTAAAGTATTCCTTGAAGCCACAGGTCGTTGTGCATTTCAGATCAGTTCTTTGGACATTTTCATAATTTAAGAAACAAGAAAAAGTGTTATTTTTAACATCTGACCTGGAAGTACAAGGCAAAAGTTTAAACTGAAAAAATATCTCAATTTTTCAGTTTAAATGTCTCAATCACTTGCTGAACATCCTACTTGTTCATTTGTTTCCCATTACAGATCACTCCATAAAAATCTAAGCCAGTGAGCAAGAGGTCAATGATCCCATTGTAAACGCAAAAACATTTCCCTGAGTTAACACCCATCTTATAGTGGTACTGTGGGACTGACATAGCAAACTGACCTATTTCAAGTCTGTTTACTAAGGATAATGCTGCTGTGTTACCATGCCCATTCCTGATTGAGAACTGCTAGCGGCCAGCTTTATAGCAGGGTGATGCCCAGCCATTAGAAGACAGGGATGCAGTTATAACAAGGCTTTGCTGAAATAGCCCTGTTTTTGTTTTTGTTTTATGACTGAAAAAAACTAAGAAAGCAGAGCCAAAAACAACCCATTACAGATATTTCATTTCTCGTGGGAAATCAGAAATTACAAGGTCTGAAATTTCGTTTCTTCATTATGATTGCTGAGCAAAAAAATTAAGCAACATGTTATTCAGAAGACAACGCTTTCAACGGGGTTTGGAACAAATTCTCATTGTTTAAAACCCCTGTGTTGGCGGTGTCAGGTAAATAACTTAGGTCTGAGGTCTGTAAATCTAACTACATTTCCCGGACAGTACAAAGTGTTCTTTCCTTGCACTAACTGCATACACAGCCTGGAGAAAGTTCTGTCTCAAGGACAGCTGGCACCACAAAACAGTAGCAGGACTTCTAATGCAAGACAAGGGTTACATATACTATTACTAGTGACAACTGCATTGCTTTCATGGATACTAAAAACGTCTGTCTTTTATAAGATGTGATTCTAAGGGCCAGTTTACAAGATATACATCCAGCTGCACTTTCAACAGAACCACAGAAGATAGCATTTCATGCAGAGGCAATAAAACCTTACGGCAACATGCTTCACCCACTGCTCAACTTGTCTTTTCCCTTCCTCTCTTGCATTTAGTAATGCATTAGGGCAGTTCCCACATTTCCCAGTTTAATCCCACACCAAATTTCAGTGTTCCAGAGCCATCTGATTAGACAGCACCTGCAATCTCGCAGCTCTCAACAACAGTACATCCTTCATCCTTACCTTATACTGTATTGCACTAATGTTTTTAATTGTCAGACTTCTAATAGAATTTGCTCATTTCACTTAACTGTGGGCAATTTTGTATTTTTATTTTTTCACTGTAAAAATAAAACATATGCCCATTGGCTAACATTACATCTTTCTCCTATGCTTGATATTATTTAATTTTAACTAATAATATTACGTAGTTGATAATAGTTCATTTTTTATTTTGCGCAGTACTTTCAGCTTTATTGTGCTAAGCTTGTTGTCATTAATTTAAGGTGTTTTATTGTACTTGTGTGTTCATGTTTCCTTTACACTAAATTTTGAAATCTGTAAACATTTCTGCCAGTTGCCAGTGCCAGCTGACTATAGACAAAATGCGAAAAAATATGCACACACAGACTGCACTCTGCTGTTAAATTTAGAAAGATTAGAAACTATTAAAAAAAAGATTAGAAAAATAAATTTTGGTGAAAAGACAAATTACATCTGCATTTATCTGTACTTTATCATATGTTCAAAGTCTGTAAAACTTTCAGCAACAGGTTTAGAACTTGACATTTGAGCCTTGCATAGAAAAGAGGGCTAGCAAATTAGCTGGCCATCATATAACAAAAGTGGGTCATTGTATATTAACTGTTGTAAATCCTTTTATTATATTAGATAACATTTCAGCAGCAGCAAGGGATTCAGACAAAATGTCTCTGTTTAAGCAAGATATTAATACGGAAAAGATCATTTACAGCTGCATCAGCCTTGGCATCCTTAAAATATAAACCCCTGAATTCTGGTTTCACGTACAGCATGCTACTGTATGAATCCAGCCAGGCACATCGGACGAAAAACCTCTATTAATCAATGAAATGTCTGTTTCTACGATATTTCTACTATACATCAATCTTTTTGATCATCATGAGTTTCCATGCAATTCTCTTAGATGTTTAAAGGCAGCACACCTGTTGCATGGGTTAGCAGCAAAGAAGTCTTTGTTTAATAGACATGGATTCTGAGAAATGCCTGACAATTGGATGTTGTAGAGCTTGCACCTCTAGGGTTCAGAAATATTGCTTCCGTACTGGTGTTTAAATATACATTAATTCCAAATATTTCCATTTTCTAACACAGCATTTTATTCTTTATAAGGAAACACAGGAGGCTCTTTGTCACACGCAATGGAATATTAAAAGGGAAGTCATTTGTATGGATTTTCAAAGAGATTTTGAGAAAAAAAATTCTCCCTGATTTGCTCACCAAAGGGTCTTTATACTGTATCATACTTTATCCCAAAACTACACTAAATTGTGCTACACTTACCTAGAATGATTTCTTGAGTCATCTCCATATCTCGGTTATTTGTCCCAAAATTCTTGTTCTTTTTTCCGGCTGGGCTGCCTATGTGGTTACTGGCCATGTGAGCCCATGGTAAAGTAATTTTCTTAAATGAGATTTTGGTTGACCTGCATTTTTATGTGTTTCAGTTTTTAGTTGATTAAGGCTTTAAAGACAGGGGAAAGGATATGCAAAGGATATTTAAGCAAAAGCTTAAAGTCAGAAGACCTCTCACTAGAAATCTACAGTAGTTTTCCTAAGGACTCAGTTTTGAATTTGCTGTCAATTATTGTACGGTTGTTATGGTTAAACACAAGTTTTACTTCTTCTAACTAGATGATGTGGTTTCACACGCATTCATCACAGACTGTTGCCATCAAAATACTTTCAGCCCTTCCACATGATTATCTGAGACTTCTCAGATAGAAACAATGAAATTAATAAATTGCCCTGCACATACACAAAGTATTTACTTTCCAATAGTCACACCTGTTTTTATCATATTAAAGTATAGTTTTCCATGGAAAAAGACAAAACACATTTCTTTCATACAATTCTGACAGTGAACAGTCAGCTCTGTGCCAGTGGAGAAGCAGGTGTGCAGTCCCTCGCCCAGCTCAATGTAACATGAATCTGTTGTTCAGTGGAAAACTTAGATCAACATTTATTACTCCTGTTGCCTCTGGCACTCTATTGTCATTGTTAGAAAGATGGGGTCCCCTTATTCTTTCATTGTTTTCTAATGACAGCTGCTATTTGAAAGTGTATGATATGAAGGATATGCCCCACCCCCACCTCATCCTCGTCTTTGTCCAACCACTCACATCTGATTATGTGTTTTTTCTGCATGCAAGACTTTTTTGACAGACACTTGCCATGTGGTCTCCAACCCAGCAACGCAAGACAATGTTTTTTACGGAAACTCTATTGCATTGCACGAGTCGTTAAATGGAACTGACAGTGAGCAAGAACCTGCCCATCACATCATGCATACTACGTGCATTGCTGAGGTATGAAATTGGTGGGGCTTGACAAGGTCATGGTCAGTTCTGTCTGCATACAGTGGACTCTTGCAGAAAAGCTGCTGTACTCACCACAGTCTCTAGCGTCTTCCCCATAGACTCCTGACGCACAGCCCATGAAGCAGCGGTACGATCCCAGCGTGTTCTCACAGCGCCAGGTGCCACAGATCCCAGTTCCGTACTCCTTACACTCGTCCATGTCTGGGAAGACCAACAGTTGCACAGGGTCACAGGCTGGGTCTCTCCCTTCCTACAAAGCCGCAGCTCAAAACAGGCACCAGGCTGGCCGGTTCCAAGGCAAACATTTTTACAGCAATTTAATAACCTCTGAAGAAACAGAAAAGAACCACCAAAGGGAAAAACACTTCTGCCTCACAGCAGGGTAATTCATAATCCCTGATGGAAGATTTATTTGAGTGGCTAGTTTCACCACCTGAAGTGGAAAGGTGGACATACAGTACAGAGTCCCGCTGATGGAGCCACAGAGACAAAGCATAGATGCAGCACGTCACGCTTCAACAATCCAGATGAATATCTAGTTTTGTAGCTGACATTCAGATAGCTGATGTGAGAAGAAAACATACATCTGTAAGAGCAGCAACACTTCAAGACCACTTCCATCAACTACTAAATAAAAAAGAAATCTACTACCAGTGCTAGAGTTGTGCCCACACTGGCTCATGAGGACTTCACAAAGCAATAGCCCCTTCCTATGTGATAAAGTGCTTCTTGCCATAAATTTATTGTCCTTTTTGTCTTGAGCAAAGTTAAGCGTTTCTAAGTTTTGCCCTTCTACTGGATGGTTTTCACATCAATTTGCATGGTATACTGTAAATGTGGTTTCCCTTTGGCTTCTGTACTGTTTAGAATGAAAGCCGTATAGACAATTCTGTTTTGGACAACCTCACATAAAATGTTGATATATTTTGTGATACTGGATTATGGACAAAACAAGTTTCATCTGCAGATCTGACAAACCCTGTTAACCTGTGCTACTGTAACACTGAACACCACAGAGTACCTCGGTATAGTAATGAATATTCTGAAGTATGGAGGATATCTGCTCTTAGCACTTTTAAAGTTTAAAGAAAGCAACTACATATAATTTAAATTATTTTATTTGTAAAAAGCATACAAACAACAAAAATAGTAAAAGCTGATGTGGGGATGTAGATTAATGTGCCAGAAGCAATTCGGAAAAAGATCATGTACAGTATATGTTATGAGCATCAACACATCACTCATAACCTCCACTAGTATTTTACTGTCATTAGTATAGTGCTCTAAAGCTTAGTTTGAATGAGAAGCCCTGCCTGCCTTTTAGAAATGTTTAATATCCACTGATAAGAATCTTTAAAAAAACATCTGAAGGTAGACTTTTGATGAGCTGCCAACATACCATTTTGTAATTGAACTCAATGTCTGGTGTGCATTCCAATAAACATCATCTGTCTGACTTTTCATTTGACAGTTATATCAATACTAAAATTAACAAAAGTAATAGTAATAATAAGATTAACAATGTTGGCCTCAAAGAAAATTTCACTAGATCACTGTAGAATTGTTTCTGTATAAAGTAAGAAAAACATTGTAGAATAGTGTATGGGTAAAACAAGGTCAAATAGCAGGGGAAACTGGGAAATGTGATATGTCAATGATATCCACCTGTTCTTACCTTCACAGTCACCAGCTTCATGTGAGAACTTGTATCCTGTTTCACATACACACTGGAAGGACCCGTCTGTGTTCAGACATTGTCCTCTTGAGCACATGGTTCCCTCACTGCACTCATCCACATCTGGTGAGGAGAGAAAGAGAAGAGAGAGATGGCCAAGTCTCATCTCAAAGAGGCCAGGAAAGTTTTCTAGTCAGCTTCCGGATTCTACCAATCCTCAACATTGTTGTCCACCATCTCTACTGCTATCCTTGGGCTCAGCTATACTGGAGATCTGCATCTCGACAAAGGTTGGCTTTAATATGTGATTAGGAACCACCATACTTCCTATAATTTATCAAAAGAAAAACTGCATAAAGATGACATCACATAACAGTCTTGCTCAAGGGAACCTTAAGGGCTTACTGTATGGGTACAGTCCAGCACTTAATCCGAGACCTGTCCACACAAGGTAACTATAGAGCCCTCCGTCATGTATCTCCACAAGCGTTTAACTCAACTCATTGCCAAAATCCTTTAAACTCTGTGACCGTGGACTTTTTTAAACCCAGTTAAAAGATTCATCTTTATACTGCAACTCCAGTGCAAAAGTCCTGTACTCTGTGAATTTGGTCAAACATTTTATGCTATGTTCTATCGCACAGTACTGTGAGTTTTTTTTAAAAGCATCTCCAATAATTTTTTTAGTGTCCACTAAATTAACTGTTACGAATTAAGAAATTAACAGGCCACTCCAATGTGCACTAATATTTATTTTGCTTATACAAGTGATTATTAGTTGTTTAAAAAAACAGGTTTACCTTTGCTATGCAACTGAAAAAAGAATGCAATAATCCATCAGGAATCTGAAAATCTAGATGTGAGCCAAATACACATGTAGGAACCAGGTGACAGGAAGGGTGAACTCTGTGTTGGTGCTTAAATATGGTGCAAGCTTTTTGCACGCTTATGAAAGTTGACACTTTAACTATCATCCCACAGCCCTTTCATTAGGCAACACCTGATTTCATTATTGCCATCACAGACACTGACTTTTCCAACCTGCAGGAGCACGCTGAAAGGTTCATAATTGATTTAACTTGCCCTGTCATTTCGTTAAATCACTCTGAGCACAGCATGAAATCCCGCTCCACTCTGCTCTTGCAGTCAAGAATAAGCAAAAGCTTTTATTTTACCCTGTCCACTCAATAGCTGTAAATGTCGCATGTAAAGTAGGCGGTATAAAAATACTCCATTCCACTGATTTATTGGATAATTAAACTGCAATATTTTCAGTGGCGGTGAGCCAATACACATTGAATAATACAATGTTCTAGATGTTGTCTCTTGCTTCAGACAAATGACCCCTGGGGAGAATTTAACAATGTTCAAATGTTGCCAGGTCCCTACTTGCAGATTTACCAAACACCTGGATCTGGACACAGTGTCAAAAAAAGAAAAATGAAGGTCCTTCTTTAATACATGCCTGACACATTGCATAGACCATAGACCCTAACTGGTAAACTTGGCACATGGACAGTCAAGCCACTCTCGATGCATATTTCTAGTATGCAAAATACGTTTTCCCCCCTTACGATAATTGTTCTTTGAAAGATGAGAACTGTCTGCAATTTAGGTGCCAAGAGCCAATTCTGTTATAAGTTTATTCTTACCACAACAATGAGTTTCATTGTGAGAATACTGAACAAACTGGTCCAGCTTTCAGCAATGTACCATATTTTTGTTAAACTGGATAAAACTGGGACAGCAAGAACCAAAACTCAAAATAATAATAAACACATCACAATATAGTTCATCTTCACAATCCTACAGATGTGGAAGTATATAGCCCATGGTGATATCAAAACTACAGTACATAAAATATCATAACTTGACCGATTCTAAATACAGGTTGAAAGGTGAGGATCAGATTCTACTTCACATGTTGCTGATACCGTCCCTGCAGAAACAGGAACAGGGTGCGATTTTTGAAAAGTCTATGTCATGTCATGAAATGACTACTGATCTCAATAATTTAAGACAGTTAAGCAAACTGGGACCATTACAAATCTTAGAAATCTACATTTCTACATCAAGATAACTATATAATAATATACTCTAGATTTAAACATCAAAATAGAGAATATAGTGTGCCCTAGTGAAACGGACATACAGTGGCCTAGGATACCAATAAACATACAGTACATACTGCACATGGGTGAGGAGAGAGCTGAAATCTCTGTAACAATTTTCAGCAAATTGCTTTGGGTAACAAAAAAGCAAAACCACAACCGTCCTTTAAATAAGGAATGTGGAGAAACTTAAAAGAGTTTGAAAATATACTGTATAAAAACAGTTATTTAATGTAAGATAATTATGTTTTTAAAATTATTCTGCTTACACTAGGTAGAAGGGAACTGTGCCTAACTATTGAAAAATGTGCTATATGTGGTAAAAGTAAACTTGAACTCATAAACAAACATGACTCACAAAAATACATCAGACTGTAATAAGAGGAAAGTCAATAAAATGTGTACTGAACTGACAGAGGTGAAGACATTTGTCTTAGACTGTATTAGACTGGAATTTCTGGGAACCTTTATTCAATACTGGTGTGAGCTTGTAGAGGGAGTGAGTGAGTCTGGAATGGTGTCAAAATTTCCTGTAATCACACAACATCAAAGCTGACTCTTGATGTCTGGCCAGATACAATTGGGAGTATTGAATTATTTTGTTCTTTATTCATTCTCCAGAGAGAAACAAGTATTTCTTAGGTTAAACAAACTGGCACCCAAGCAGGCATTAGGCATACTCGGAACGCAGGAATGTCTGTCCTGCCCAGTTACTGGCAAGTCTTTAGCGCAGGGTAATAGATGGAAAAGGTCTCACTACAGGAGGCTGTCTGGGACTGAAGAGAAACGCTGTGTGAACCCTCAATTTCTGAACCCAAGAGAAGATTCTGCTTGGTGTGGGGTGGCTGGTTCTGCCTCCTTACCCTGACAGCCCATTCCATCTCCAACGATGGTGTAGCCAGGGGAGCACAGGCAGAAGAAGGAGCCTTCTGCATTCAGACACTCTCCACTTAGACCACAGATATCTGGGCTAAGGCACTCATTGACGTCTGAAAAAAAGAACAAATACCAACTGAATTTCTTGCAATGATTGGTGCTCTGCAACAAAACAGTGCCAGCTAACAATGTCAGGTTAATTACTGATTTTCTCTTTCCTTGTACTCCTGTGAAGGAACAAGTTATCTAAAAGTATTCCTGACTTCCTTCCACCATCCTACTGTTCAAACTTCACCTGTAGATTGGATTGGTATTATGATTTCTATGCCTTGTAATAGTTTTTTAATTTCCATACTTTTCTTTTGTACTTGTTCTTCTTATCCTAGAATTATAATGATTTCTGTGCCTTACTTTGTTTTTGGCCATTGTATTGCGTTAAATTATTGCCTTAACTATGTTCTTGTTTTCTACCACTCTACCATATGAACAACACAAACTACGCATTTTTTTTAAGGGCATGGCCTTTTGTTGAACACAAGGTGCTTTTAATAGAAGCAGCAAAAGAAAGTAATAATAAATCTGCCCTAACTGCATGGGAGGCTTCCATTCTCAGTACCTCTGCATGTGGAACCATCAATGAGCTCATAGCCGTGAGGACAGGAGCAGCTGTAGGACCCAGGGGTGTTAATGCAATCTCCACCAACACAGCTGTCAGCATCATCACATTCGTTTTGATCTACACAGGCAGACGGCAAAGGGGGACAAGTCAGGGAGGCTGTGACAGAGAATCATTCACAAGTCACGGAAGCTGTGAGCACCAAAGGTCTCGTGCTTTTGATTGTCAGTAATAATTCCACAATGGTTTTAAATCTGAGGAGCAGCAATCCTGTTGTCCAGCACTGTCTCAGAGTTCATGACCTACTTACCCAGTAAGTCCAGGGGTAGCCAAAAATAGTAGTCAAAAATAGGTCAGTCAAAAGGACAGTGCAAACAATTGTTTAAAGTGTTCTTGTGCAAAAAAGTGCTCTCTTGTGCATTTACAAAAGGGAAATACATTCAACAGAAATAATACATTGCTTTATGTTTCTTCAAGGAATATACTACTAGCAACACACAGACCAGGTTACACCAGAAAGACTGTGACCAGACTATCTTACTACACCATGCCATCTTCAATCCCCTAAACTCCACCCCTGCTCCTCTTGATGGACAGGTGAGCCTCCATTTAAACCAGCGCTGAGGCTGACACGAAATGGTGGAACAAACAGACCAAGGATGACAGTGTGGATCCAGAACAAGTGAGAAAAGACTAATACTAATAATAACATTAAGAATGTTTTAACATATAAGAATAAGGAAAATGTAAATGCAGAAATGCATAAACAAAACACATTTTCAGGAGTGACAAGTAAATAAAGAGAACCCTCAAAAGAGGTTATGCAATGAGGATGGTCAACACCCCTTTGCTACACTGTAGTTATGTTCTGCTTTAGAGTAAACGAGCATTGGTTATTGAAAAAAAGTCTTCTTTAAAAATACTTCCATTCCACCCTTAATATGAGCGTGTTATGCGTTATGCAAATACCTTCACAACTCCCTTTGTCGGCAGAGAGCTTATAGCCTCCATCGCAGGTTGTGCAGGTGTAGGAGCCTTCTGTGTTGGAGCAGACGCCGGTGGGACAGGCCCCCGGGGAGAGACATTCATCAACATCTGTGAAGACACACCGGGTGACACAGAGTCAAACAGGAGGGAGGGGGACAAACAGCGCAGAAGGATCTTGGCATGGTGCTCATCACCAGGCAGCAGCGCAGGCATCACCACAGAACACTGCCAGCCTGGGAAGAGCCAACCCAAATGTTAGACCTCAGAAAGTTAATAAATGAAGCTCTTGGCGATGATGTTTTTGTGAAATAAGAAAGCTGTGAAGATATGGTATTCTTTTTAAGAATAATATTTGCCCTTCTAAGTGCAACGCAGATATGTTTTCACAGGAATTTAATAACACATCTTCATTAATAGGGCATAACAGAAATTTTCAATGAAAAAAATATAGAAAAAAACAGTGCTTACAGTTAATCAGATAACCACTGACTAAACAAAACAATTTGTGCTCAAAATAAACACAATAAATGATTCTGGCCATTCATAATTAAATGCTAAGAGATAGCTAGCTTAGTGTAAACAGAAAACCCATTATTCACAATCTGATGATTTCAGACAGTCGATGGATGCTGGCTGACAGACCAATCCATCAGTAAAAACACTAGACAAGGCAGCTATAAAGCTGTCCAAGCTCAAATGGAGCCCAGACTGGGGGAAAAAAAATCAATGATGTTAAACAAGAATGCTTTATTTGGACTTTAGAGAAAGTTTATTATTTTTATAACAAATACCGAAAACGATTGTATCTTATTCTCTCCGGAATGTTTGTAGTAACTCAGAGATCCAAAAGCTTTATCAAGCCATTACTTCAGAGATTACAGCCAGCCTGCATGCGCAGCTGGGCAACCTGGCCATGTGATTCTACCTTCACAGCCGTAGCCATCTTCTGACAGCTCATAGCCCTCTTCACAGCTCCTGCAGTAGAACGAGCCCTGGGTGTTCTTGCACAGCCTGCCTGGGCACACATTTGCCAAAGAGCACTCGTCCACATCTGAGGAAATACAGGGACAGAAACAAAGCCAAGTGAGTTTAGATTACCAGTGGGTAGTAAAACATCAGGCATGTTAAAGAATTAAAACGTCAACATAATGAGATCTCTTTAAATGCTGCCCTGCTACCTTCACACGTGCTGGCATCTGCAGAAGGCCTGTAGCCAGTCCCACAGGTGATACAGGAGTAGGACCCTGGATTATTGTTGCACACTCCGTTAAAGCAAACACCAGGCACAGCACACTCGTCAATGTCTAAGACAAAGTTTAGAGGACAAAAAGATGAAAACAGATGATGAAAATTAATGACAAGCACACAAATACAATGTATATCACACATTATTATTCCTTTTCATTCATGTCAGCAGGAATTTCAGATTCACTTAAGGTATGAACAGCAGGATGAAATAAAAGAAACTCATACTACTTGTTTTGAACAGATTACTTTGGCTGAGAGTGAGGTCACTCTTTAGCTGAAGGTACTATATATCACAGAGAAGCTGGAAAAGCCCTTATACCATTTTACAGTCTCACATCTGAGAATCAGCTGGACATATGAAGGTAAAGACTGGAGAGCATAATGACATACAGTAGCTGTCCTGTTCTCAATACATAATAAAACAATATATTGGAATGCCGGTGCTGTCTAATTGCACAAAAATGTGAACAAAATTAGTCAATATTTATATTTCAGATACTGACAATCCCGACAAGAAAGGGTACTTTGGCCTTAAAGAGCTTCATTTGAGGAACACCAACCTGGCCTTATGTTGATGTACTCCCAAGAGGTTACTGGACTGGTAGTGGTGTTGGAAATTGTGGAAGGGTATTTATTAGTGTGACCAAGAAAAAGCAGTGTGGTGGCCTGTATTTGTACTCAGGAATGGGTACATGTCCCCCCTAATTTCCATTAGGAAATCGTTACCATTTTCACAGGCCTACCTTCACAGCTCTTACTGTCTGGGGACTCCTGATAACCGAGGTTACAGCTGCACCTGTGTGAGCCTTCCAGGTTGACACAGTTACCATGGGAACAGACCCCAGGCAGAAGACATTCGTCTTCATCTTCGAGAGGAAGAGTAGAAGACAGACAAAAATACAGTCCTGTATTAAAACAACCACTTGAAAACTAAAAATGAAACAGACATTTGTAGGATCTTGTTATAAGGATGAGGGGCAATTATATCTTTCACAAATCAGTGGTGTGCATTAAATACATTTTATTTCTCTGTTTATGTTTTGATATTGGCACTTTTCTTCCAATATTATCACCTCAACTCACTAGTATAATTGTTTAACCTGTGTGGGATGGATGGGGACAGTTTATCCAAGAACCCGCAAGGTTGAGCTACCTGCCATTTTTTTACATTGTGATGAACAGCATCCACAGCAGCATAAAGTCAGATGGCACCTCTCAGTGATAACACTGTCATTTTACTGGCTCCAGCGCAGCCACATAGCTAGCTTCTACAAGCCATTTATCCTCTAATGAACTCAAGCCCATTGAAAAACCATCTGGACTTGGCTAATTATGCACTGGTATCTGGAGAATTCTATTTGCCATCAACTAATGACAGCTCATCACCAAGCCTGGGCTGTAGGTTTATAAGGATTGATAAGCTTTCAGTATATTTACTTATTTTTTATTCATTTATACTGCTGATGCTTTTAGCCAAAGCAACTTAATGTGTATCCATTTACACTAATGCGCATTTTACTGGAGCCCAAACTAATCTTTAAACCCACAACCCTCTAGTTTCAAGTGCAGAGCCCTGACAAATTCACCACACTGCTGCTTCCCAATTGTGATCCGAATGATTGCCTTTACTGGTTCAGGGACCTGGGAACTTTCCGATTTTTTTTTTAGAAATAGTGTAACTATCTGGATACTTTAAAATGGAAATGCAAAGATTAAAAGGTCTATTTAATGACAATTTAATGACAGTTCTTGATTAATAGGGCTCTTCTACCTTCACACGTGCTGGCATCTGCAGACGGCCTGTAGCCAGTCCCACAGGTGATACAGGAGTAGGACCCTGGATTATTGTTGCACACTCCGTTAAAACAAACACCAGGCACAGCACACTCGTCAATGTCTAAGACAAAAAGTTCAGAAGACAAAAGAACAAGAGAAAAAATAACTCAGAAGAAAAAGATAAAAAGGCAGGAGAAAAGCTTTGCAGGTTGTCCACCAAGAAACTCACAGTCAGTGAGAAGATACACCTGGAACTAATTAGAAATCTAGCATTGTTTGAACGAGTGCTAAATTAGTTTATTTATGCAGCTAGGAGGATAGTGTATTAAATTAGAGTGAAAAAAGAAATAAACTTTACTTTCTGAAGACAAAGAGTCAACACAGTGCTGGCTAACCCAGAACTCAAAGTTAGGGAATGTGCATAATATAATAAGGAATCAAAGAGGAAATAAGAAAAAACACTGTGTTAAGAAACATCCTTAGCAGTCAGCAACCTGGAGAACAGAAGAATTGGATATTGCAAAACATACTGTATAAGCATGCCTTATACATTTGGAATTTCCATACCTTCACACTGATGTCCATCCTCTGATATTCGGTATCCAGGACCACAACTAGTGCAGGAGAAGGAACCTTCAGTGTTGGTACAGATTCCAGCTGGGCACGCATTAAAGGATGCACATTCGTCGATATCTGCAAATGATACAATAGAACACATCCATGAAGAAAAGACAAATGTTTTTTTTTTTAATAAAAAGAGCACCATTAATACTGATCATAGTATAAAAGGCTTACAAAGAGCCTTTGTAAAGAAAACCAGCTCCAATAAGTTGGTTACAAACTGAAGCAATAACATTTAAAATCCATTTAGCTAGCTTACCCTCACAGCTCTGTCTATCTGCTGCTGGTCTGTATCCTATAGGGCAGGTTGTGCAGAAGTATGATCCGTTAGTGTTAGTACATATTCCAATGAGGCAAATGGAGGGGGAAGCACATTCATTGATATCTGTAAGGATACCACAAGAAAAAAAAATCATCACCAGGCTAAGTAGAATACTACAACAAAAAAACATTTGTGTAAGAGCCTTCCAGCTGTATCACACTTATCAATTTATTTTCCTACCAGATCTCTTCACTGATTTCTGACATTTGCTGTAATGCCTTTCTGGTTATTACTTTCATCTGAGAAGGTTACTATCTCAGATTACATTACTGTGCTATGGGATAGTAATTGATAAGTGGGTTAACTAACAGCTGCCATTTGTGAAAACCTAAAGTCATGACGTTGGGCACTGAGAAGCAAACCAGCAAGGATCAAACCAGTAGTTTTTAGAATCCCGCCTGCACCATGGAAAGGAAAATATCTGGAGATGCACCATCCTTAAACACAACCAGAGGCTAAGGACTTTGTGTGCTGTGCACAGTGTGGTTGTGAAATCTACAGTGAAAATCTTTTGATGGTGCAGGCTATTGGCACAATTCCATGTACATTAACCTGAGGCAAGAAAATATATTGAACCTAAATTCCAATATATTTAATACGGAAGGAGGGGGAGCCCAAAGGAAATCAGAAAGAGAACCCAAGGTTCTTCAAAAGAAACAAAATGTCTATGGACCAGGCAATGAAATGCTTATAATTAAATGACAGGAGTATTAGGAACAAAATGTAACAAATAGACGCTACTGTATTAGCATGTGATTATGATGTCATTGGACGACCAGCTACTGTGTACTCCAAGATTTAATGGTATGTCCTACACTGACAGGCTAAAAGATATTTTTAGTCCAGAGCAGAGGAGACTACAAGTGGATCTGATTAAAGTATTGAAAATCCTTAATGGCTCTGACAAATTCAACCCAGAGGACACAATTACAAACCATATGAAAGTGTATTTAAAACCAAGAGAAGGAGGCACTTTTAACACTGAGGGTTGTGAATGCCTTTTGCTGAAGCTGACACCCTGGCTGCTCTCAAAAGGGGTTAGTTGAGATCCACAGATCCTTTAGTCACTAACAACCTAACATATTAGATGGTTTGAAAGGCCTCCTCTCTATTTTCCTCCTACTTATGTTCTTCTGAAAAGAATGACAGGTAATTGCTGTAATAAGTGACATGGGTGTACCCAGGTAGGTAACATCACACTAACCTTCACACCTCTGCTTCTCCAGGGAAAGCCTGTAGCCCTTCCTGCACTGCAAGCATGTGTAGGAGCCTAATGTGTTAGTGCAAACTCCACCGGGACAGACAGAGGCTAATGCACACTCATTGATATCTGGGACAAAGACAGGCAAGGAAACTTAGATGCACTGCATGTGTCAGAATGCAAATCAATCTCGTAGCCAAGAACAAGTCAACATCAAACTGCCAACAGCCCTACTGAAAGAATGATACAATGTAATGATGCAATATGTTTCATGGGCAGTACATGATTAATTGACACAATATGATTTCTATGCATTTGAGTTTCTGTCCTAGCTGTATATTTTTCAAAGCTGGTGAAACTTTACTATACCTTCACATGTCTGCCCATCTGCCGATTTCCTATATCCAGGCCTGCAGCTAGTACATGAATAGGAACCTTCAGAATTGGTGCATATACCACTGGGACACACATTACGTGTTGCACACTCGTTGATGTCTGAAGCCAAAAGAGAAGAGAGTGAAGATAATATTTATAACATAAAGTATATTTTCTAACCATAAGACACAGAAGGGTTAAAAAGTCCTCTCCTCACAGAGCTGTGGGCCAACTGGAAAACAGTTCCATATACTACATGTAAATCTATATTGCAAGTATGGAGTGTTTCTAAAAATGTTTACTGAAATTAGTCCTAGTTTACATTTTTAACGATCGACATTTTTCCGGGCCTACTGTACCTTCACAGCTCTTACTGTCTGGCGACTCCTGGTAACCGAGGTTACAGCTGCACCTGTATGAGCCTTCCAGATTGACACAGTTACCATGGGAACAGACCCCAGGCAGAAGACATTCATCTACATCTTTGAGAGGAAGAGTAGAAAACAAATATAAAGTTTGATTACACATTAAATTAAAATCTGGAAATTCTCAACACCCTGTCAATAGGTTGACTTACAGGATGACCAAGAGAAGTGGAAATGTTGACTTCACTAAACTGATCTCATTTTGTTATATTTTCAAAACTTTGAATTAAAACTGGCTATCAATAAAAAAATGGGAAAATCTTAGCATTTTCTGTGAGGTAACATCAACATCTGATAGTAAATACACAAGCTGTTACTGGCTGTCTAATTTTCTTTCAAAAAAGTTTCCTTCATACTGCAAACCTTGCCTAAAATTTGAATTTTGAAATCTGAACTAGAGGCCTACCTTGGCAGCTCCCACTGTCTGGTGTTGCTTGGTAACCCGGGCTACAGCTACACCTGTACGAGCCTTCAGAATTGACACATCTTCCATTGGCACAGGTTCCAGGGACAAGACACTCATTTACGTCTGGGAACAGTCAGAGGATAAAAGTGTATGTTAAGATAACCATACACCAACAGAAACAGCCTGATCTCAGGACAAATTCTAAAAAAAGATTATATATTTATATATAGTTCAAGTACTGTAGGTAGCTGTGTTAGCATGTGTAGGCTGCAAAGAAACAATTAAAGGTTGTTTCCATGCTGAAAAGAGAAGAAAAGAATCACAACGTTTCGGCTGTGGAGACTGCTTTGGGTGTCATACTTTAATAAACCTTTATTTGTTCCTATATTTATTTATATATACTGTACAGTACAGTTATATACACTCACAAGCATTAAAGTATCCACACAGTGCATACCTACAGTACAACTTGTATAAACATTCACACACTAATACTGTAGAATATACTAGGTAAACCTCCAGAATTAAGAAGAAACAATATTTTTTAGAATCTTAATACTTGCCAGGCAGGGAACTGAAATGAGATGAAAGATTTTTAAAGATTTAAGGTACTTTCCTAATGCATTTGTGGACCAATGCCGTGAAGTTACATGCCTATACTACATCTCTTTCATGTGTGGAGAAAGGGAAAAATGCAGCAAGTCATTGAATCAACAAAAACACAGAACAATCTTTGTTGTGTATATAAGTAGAAGTCAGTGCCAGATCTCTGTCATCCATTCCTAAAATCTTATTTTTTTAATCTTTCTGCATCTTTGAACCCCTTCCACGATAAGCTTGAATGTCGACTGGAGTTTGTTTTCAGTTTCAGAATGCAGATTAACTGGCAGTCAGTGGGGTACTACTTAGCAGAGTTAATTTACCATATGAATGGCACAAGGTTCTATTAAAACTCCACATTTGCACTCATAGTTCTTTTTTATTATTAATTTAATTCTAATTGCAGTCAGCATTTGTCAAAACAGCAGTTCAGTTTTATGAAACCATTTGCCTCAGTTTTCAGGGTTCATTTGTTGGGGAAATGTCATCATACGGCTGATTTTTGTTTAAAATTACCAATTAATAATGTAGACTGCTTATTTTCTTTTTGCTCTTTTTATAATTTCAAGAGTTAAAGTAAGATTTTGTAAAAAAAAAGTTCATTTACTGAAACAATTTAGAGGAACGGTAGTTCACTTGCCTTAAGACTGAAATCACAAGACAGCTTTTGAAGAATGCAGCTTTGTACATGATAGCAAGGCAAGTTGACATCCTTGTTCTGGCACTGTTAGTACTATATTTGCTCTTACTACTGCATGTTAGAACAAGCTACATGTGTGACATTAACACAACAATATTTAATATTATATATATTGTAACGCAACGGGGGCTCAGGCGGGCGCCCTTGCCGCATTAGGTCGGCCCCCCACTGCCAGGGGCTCGAACCCAAGACTCCAGCGTCACTCAGCAGGGACCCAGCCCGGTGAGCTAAAGAGAGATCTCTCTACAGCCCAGTAGCTGTAGTCCTGCTATCACAGAGAAGGACGGCGACGTCACCGCTCTGGTAAGCCGGCTCTTACACAGTACCTGTCGGCCGTAAGCGTTACAATATTTTCAGTTTCAGGAGGACTGAGGACACAATGTGCTCTTTGTTTTTCCTTTATAGTCAGAATTATGACCACCGACAGAAATAAATACCCCTTTTTTCAGTCTTTCAAAACACCCCTAATTTCTCCTTTAATCTACTGTATACTGTACATCTCATCAGAGCTCATATCTGATTTTTGCACAATTCTTTATTCACATCAGATTCTCTTTTGCTTTAATGGTTTGTATGAAAGTGTTGGGGTCCCACCAGGATAAAGAATACAGAAATGGTGTTAAAAGGAATCTTCAACTAAAATGATACATTTGAGAATTCATTTTTACATTTTATTTTTGCTTCTTATTAAATCTGATATACTTTTCTTTTTATGTAGTCAATTACACAGCTTCCAGATAAGTTTACTGTTAACACCAATCTTTATCTTCCGGAAGCACCCTAGTGGCAAACCAGTCCCATTACTGACTCAACTGATAAGTCTTTGCCTCTGAGGTACACAGCAGTTCACGTGGGTGGCTCTGCAAGATGAGGCAAATCACTGCCATTGAGAGCACTTGAACGGCCACTGTGTTCTCCTTTTCACACCTTCCTGAATAAATGTTTTGCAACTTCAGGTTATCCAAAAATAAGAAGAGGCTTGTTTAAGGCCACAGCCTAATGAAAATATTTTGACTCTCCCAAATTGAGGTATTACAAGCAATCTTTACAGTGGTAAAAGGTACCCGAGGTCTGAAATAACATGGTGTTATGTTTAAACAACATGCGCCTCGCATGGAGGTCACAATGGGAGGGGCAGAGACAGCAGATATCTCAAAAATATTTCAGCCACTGAAAATGGTCAACACTGGGCCACATAAAAATCCAAACACACTGCTTCTGAAAGTCAAAATACAAGCCAAAAAGTGCAGGCTGGTTCTGTTTAAAGCAAAGAGCACTTTGCATACATTTCTGCAACGCATTTGGCATCTTCTTACCTTGCTAAGGACCAAAAAATAACTTAAGGGTACAAAATGCCTTAATAATAGTGAAAGCGGAAATATAATTCAGCCAAAAAAACCTGGTTGTGAGTTTGAGATTCAGGGAAGGCTGGTGGTGATTCCCAGAGGATTCATCTAAACGCTATAATGTTACGATCTGCCACGCCGCAATTCTCTCAACGGTAATTAGGGATTTTTCCAGCCCCATGGCAATTAGGAAAGCTATAAGCAATATTGAAACAACTGCTCATTTTATTATGTCACCTTTGATCCCTCTTACCTATGCATCTTCCACTTTGTGCCCTGTACCCAGCATCACAGCTCAGACATTGGAAGGAGCCAGGAGTGTTAATGCATCTTCCACTGGGACAAGTGCTGGGATTTCGGCATTCATCTATGTCTGAGGCAGGAGGAGGGAAATTCCATTACAACAAGCACTCATTGAAATAATATTAGATTAACTGCCATTCCCTAGTTAGTGCCGTTTCCAGTTTGTTTTCAACGTTTGGGTTTTTTTTATTCTGGCATTAGGCACAGAGAAATGAAACAATGACTTTTCTGTAAATGGGTTGCATGTTAAATCTTGGGTAGAAGTGCCTGGACAAATACCAGACTTAAATGATTTACACCCACTGCAATTACTTAACTCTTTCCCTTCTGTTAAGGGCTGAGCATCAGCATGGACACTGCGTTGATTAGAACTTGAGAAGCTTATATGGGCACTATTTCTACTTTATCTCTGGGAATACAGAGTATGTACAATAAGTACATACTAATATCTGTGAATATGCATAATAACATGCTTGCATTTGTCCTGCCATAAAAGTCTAATTAGTGTTCTTTTCAGAAGGAGTTCCTTAGTGGTACTGCCAGAGGATTAAATCAACAATGAACAATTTTCTATGTTACAAGATGTATTTGAGTCTGAAATAATTCTTCTGATACGGGGTAAAGCTGGATAATAGAGCAATCTTCCTGAATGGCATGCAGTATTTCTATAAATGTTAAATCCTAATGTGGAAGTCACAATGTTAGTAATTCCTACCTGAAACATTTTCTCTATAACCACTAAGTACTTTCAGTTTTAAACTTCACGCATTACAACCAATAACGGAGAGATCATCACGCCTTTCTTAGAAGCCATGTGGACTTGCCTTCACATTGTCCCCTCCTGGACATGGTGTAGCCATTTTCACATTTGCAGGTGAAGGAGCCCTCTGTGTTGATGCATACACTGCCTGGACACTTATTCGGCATGTCACACTCATTGACATCTAGAAAGATTTGAATACAATCAGTCTGTAAGTCTTTAATGCAGAGATTGTTTTACTGCACAAAACAATCAATCAATACACTACAGTTCTGACAGGTCTAGGAAGAGTCTAGATACTGCAGAGACAGTGCTAAATTCTTCACTATCTGAGATCTTCAGTCTGATTTCATTCACAAAGTCACTATAGTCATTTCAGTGTCTGAAACCTTCTGATGAGCAGGATACCCAAGGGTGATGTTCAGTAATTCTTATACTCAGTTAAACATTCTTGAGCTGCAAAAATACATGTAAATGGAAACACTTGGAAAAAAGATTTAAAACATTCTGCATCAGAGTGACATTCTGTATGAACAAAACTCAAACACAAGAATTTCTGACAGGGACGAAATTGTCTTCAATTCACTGCCAATAAAATTTGACTTTTGGTATTTTTGCTTCTGGTTCCATTTTCTGGATTTCAAAGTATGACGTTATAAGTTGAAAAGAAGACAAATGGATAATAAAACTTTCCAAAAGACATTTAGAAATGTTCAACCACAGGCACATACAGAGCATTACGTGGGCGTACACACATTTTATGTGCTCTTAAATAGTGGCTCGTACAGCCAAGTAGAAATATGCCTGCAATGCATGAATCAGCTAACAGTGACAATTGCAATACACAGCTGCATGTGTAACTGTCCATAGTAAGCTTGGCAGCTGTTTGAGAAGAGAACCACTGTCACCTTGACATGACCTCCTGTTCTGAGTGATGACCTGGCTGTATCCTGTGTAACAGTAGCAGGTATAGGAGCCTACACTGTTTACACAATGCCCTTTCCCCTCACATGGGTCCCTCTTGCACTCATCGATGTCTGCAAACAAACCAGATGTCATGATCATGACAACATTTATCTTCCCAAAAGCCTGTCTGAATCAGCAAATGTAAAATGGCACAGGTCACGTTAGAGAACATTAGATAGGCTTTAAGCTGCTCATGGTTTCAGGGATTCTGATAAATCATTTGTCCCAGTAAATCACATCCAGATTAATCCTGTTTTAGTATGACCTCCCTTTATTTTAATTTTACACTTTGTTTCACATAACAAACGTTGCACTGTTTGTTTAGATCACACCTACAGTGTGTCACTACCATGACATTCCAGCTCTGTTTCTGTACTGCAGGGAGGAAGGGGTTCTCCCAGGTAAAAGTCTCAGGTAAAAGTCTGGGTGCTGTGAGAGATTTGGCTGCCGGACACTCAAATAGACTCAAATTAATTAGTTTAGTTCAAGTTGGTAGCTCCGTCAGCTGGCGTAGGTTGCAAAGGAACAAGTCAAGGTTTAGTCCATGCTGCAAAGAGCAGAAAAAACCCCACAAAGCTTCGGCTGTGGAGCCTTCTTCAGCATGGTCCCTTTTCAGCATGGACTAAACCCTTACTTGTTCCTTCAAATTGTAATTATGCGATTTATGATCCAGAGGCTCGAGAATCACAAAAATAGCTGGAGCACTACAGCTACAAGCAAACAAATCATAGTAACCGTTAGACAGTCTACTGATGTTGTATATTTGCCTTGCCTGCACTTTACTTTGGAATTTCTTTTAAGCTGCCAGCATTCTGGGCATAATTAGTTTTTACTGCTCTTCAGTTTCAATCTAGTTTTGATTTTTTTAGGGTGCATGCGCTTGTGGACTATTTACTATCTATTTCACAGCAGTGAGAAAGCGAAGACCCCCCAGTCCATCCCAGTCTCAGTCACGGTCTTACCGACACAGCGGGTCTGTAGTGTGTTGAGATGAAAGCCATTGCTGCAGTAACAGGTGTACCCCCCCTGCACAGGGACACAGACCCCAGGACCACAGACATTGGGAGTGGCAGAGCACCTGTCGATATCTGCAGACAGAAACAACAGCAAAGCCATATACGTACCAAAGGGAAACACTGTAAAGGAAGTGCACCAGCAGGGTTCTACTGTATTTATAGTTCATTTGGTTCTTCCGTGTAGCTGTTAACAACTGATCCTTAAAATGGAATGAAAAGCTCGGCGGTACAGGTGTATAAGCCCTCTCAAGAGAATTCATCATGGTAAATCCCCACACTGTTTTTGGAATCTTCCTCTGACTTATATTACACAATTGAAGTGCTTTCCTTCTGTTTCTTTCTGAGGTTCAGAAGTCACTACGATATCCGAAATGGCATTAACTGTGGGAATAATGTGGCTGGAAGTATTGCCCAGAAAACACACTTCTAGCCAGATCAATGACGGTCTATAAATGCATTAAATCATTTTTTTAACATCTTGAACTAATCTTATTTCTTGCAAAAGGTGAGAAAGCACAAGACTGGCTCTGTCTTGCTGTTTGAGGTTAGTGACACTCTTTCTGGGTGAATAGACTGCTTTCCTAATCTTTACATCTGTTCTCTTACAAAGTAATTGGTCTGATACCTGAAAGAAATCAGAACAAAATCTGTTTTCGGGGGATTAGGGGGTGGGATTACTTGGATTCTTAACCTATACATCACTGTTACAGGTGGCAGCGATCTGTAAGCCAGCCAACTGTGTGCTGAATGTCAACGACTATACCAATATGCATTTTTAATTTGCTTTAATCATCATCAATCATGAGAGGGTCTCATTATTTTCTCAGCCAATGGTCAACCACGTTCATGCAACTAACAATAAACTCTGCATTGACTGGGACCTAGGTGGTCTTGAAAACCATTGGCTTGCTCCTGGCAGCAATGGCCCACTCGAATCCAACTGGCACACTGTCTCGTGGACTCCTACTAGATCTGTATTCTTTTGAATAGCAACATGAAGCCAAGCTGTCCTGTGCTGGAGATTTGTAGTGCAGACTGGTCTTACCCTAGCAACACTGCCCTTGGTTTTCACTTCACACCTTAGGACCTCCACGTTGTTGCTAAGCTACCGTACGAGCTCACAGCTTGTACAGTTATAGTAGCAAATAATAACAAATGCATCTCTTATGCTTGAAAAACTTCTGATTGGCAGTGTAAAACTGAATTGCCAAAGAAAGGCTCAAATATTTTTTATTCTATCCCTTGTTCTTTTTTTACAAAGGGTTTAATTTATTTCCATTCAGTGCAGACAGCTCTTACCATCCACAGCCACAGCATAGTTCTCATATGACAAGACTAAACTTAAGGTTTGTTCCACAAGTCCTTGATTCTTTGTAGCTTGGGCTAACCTCGGAAGTTGTGGGAAGACTGGTACTGTACATATTCCTAACTTTCACTTTCATAACATGATATCCCCTCGCTCAAACCAGAGCACTTGGAGATCACTTTGGCCCCCAAGTAAATCAAAATGCCTGCCCATCAGCCAAACCAAAATTGGAAGAAATAAAAATCTGCTATCAAGTATGGTGTGTAATTTGTGAGTTTTGGGTGGCTTGAGGTTCTTGATTTTGTATGGGCCTCAGCTCAACCCTTGCTCACTTTCTTCTTGGCCTCTACCACTGTCAGTATTGATTGCAGAAATAAGCTTCAGAAATATGCACAGATCTTCATCCAAAGCCTTTAAATTCACTATCAGGATTTTAGAAAACATGAATCCTCTAGTGCTTGGAAAACTCTTTTTTTGAATAACTGTGAAACCAGCTAATTTTATTTAACACAGAAATTCTAGATGCACAAGCCAAGAAAAGATAAATATGTGCGTGTGTCCTTAGACATGATCTAACTCTGCAAACAGTGTCTTGTGGCCAGGTACGTTTCACCACAGGACACAGGATACTCACACAGAGCCTAGCAAACCCAGCTGACCTGCCTTGCTGCGATTAATTACATTAGTTAACATTAAAAACCTTTCCACACATTGTTTCGAATAAAGCCCACTTCAAATAAAAATAAGAAATGACAGTTACATGCAGAAAACGCCTTTGGCACATTGAACAAAACAAAGTTTGAGAATGAAAAAGCTTATCAGGGATTTACTTCCCAAGCTTAAAACTTGAGATTTGATATCAATGGTTATCACAGCACCAGGGGACAGAGAGGCTAGATATCTGTGAAGTGGTTAAGGACAGCATGTGGGAAATGTAGAACTGAGGTCAGTGGAACAGTTACAGCATCGTTATAAATTATAGCTTATTTACTGGACATTTCAGGCAATACAGCATACTGTATGTGCTGCTGTAATAGCTTTCCAATATTATAATATAAATAAGTTCTCCATGTAATACAATATGTTATAGTAGATTGTAGTATTGTATAACAGTCAAGATATCTGGTAACCAAATTCTGCAAGAACTGTAACTGTAAGTATATTTTCAACAATGAAAGGCACTGTATACTTTGCCAAAGTAAATTTTACATGTGTATAATGCAGAATAATAATGGGCACCAGAGCCTTTACTACGTCACCACACAAACTGATTTTGCCATGTTGCCACACAGTAAACAGAAGAACTAAGATTTTGTTAGTGCCTGAACACAACCTTAAAGTACTTCACTTGTTATGAATATAAAAATCATATAAGAACAGGTTTAGTGTATAATTTGCCCTCATAATATTTTTACGAGACCGAAAGGAATTAAAGAGTCAGAGGATTATATTACTCTGAGTGTTACAGGATTTTGACACTCCTTCTGTACACTAAAAAAAATCCTCAAGGGAGAAATGGGAATATGAGATCCAACAAGAGTGCGGACCAATCAATAAATATCATGACACAACGCATTTAAAAAGATAGATTAAAAAGGTTCTGTGCTGTACACGGTTAAATGATTAAAAACGTTTAGGATGAAAGTCCTTTTGCTGTTTAGAAAGAAAAGTAAACAATGCATGTTCAAAACAAACTGACCATGATTGGCACAGCTTAATTCTCATGTGACTCTAGAATTTTTTTAAATGTCTTGCACTTATGGTGAATATGATCATTATCAGCATACGGCCAGAATTATTTGTAAATAATTTCAAGCACCACCTGACCTAAATGGAGCAAATTAGCAGAAGGCCCAAATCCATCTCCCTCTCTTCATGTAGTAAACAGTATGTATTTGATAAAGTGTAATAAAATCAGTATTTAACATTCTCAAGAATACTACTCACCTGTGACTTGGGTGGCCACATTGATAGGCGCGGTCTCCAGGACCTCAGGTATAAGATTGACTGGAGAATGAGGAGTTGCCTTCACTACCACATCCACTGGAAAGGACAAAGACATCAGTCAGTAAGTGAAGCAGCAAGGAGCTATTTGTCTATTCTTTCACAGAGCTTATTGATACACATCATTTATCTTTCCCACAAAAGATTTTTATTAAATGCATGTCAAAAGTTGCCAGAGCCAGCTCCTTGCTTGCAAATACTGCAGCAGCAAAGAGGCAAGAAAAACTCATTTATTTCTTTCTGACTGGTAAAACAATATTAATAAATTTGCACTTTAAATGGTTTAGGTTAATATTAGCCCTAGAAGCTACAATATGGAGATATTTTAAACTGTTAAAACGTTAAATGTTTTCATTGGCATAAAAATATAAATCTTCTAAGAGGGATTTATATGTTTAAAAAAACTGTAGAAATAACCTATGTGCACGAAACTATATGACAAGCCTGTTTTCACAAGCTTTCACTGGTATTGCTAGTGTTGCCCAGATCATATACTGTATGAGTAACACTACTAAATGTTGAGTTTGTGAAACCAACATGCTTTATATTCCCAGAAAACTGTTGGAGGTTTTCCAAGTGTGCCATATTCAGTATTTGTAACAACAAAAAGTAAAAGAAAATTATGGAATTACCTGGGAATTTGGGAGGCGCTTCAGTTACAGCAGGGAGCTAGAATCAATCAATCAATTAATCAATCAATATTACAAAGTGGGACCATTACTAAGATCTTTTATCTGCCATACCTTTACCGATATTTTACTTAATCATCCATTTGCTTTCTATTTAAAAGTACACATTTGAGTGAAAAACATAAGTAACCTTACATGAGTAGGATATAAAATTTCAAATTTCAGTTATCGTCAATCTTAAATGTCATTTCCATGTAATATATAATAAAGTGAAATCTGAAACTTACTGTTCGGACTGTTCCAACATCTGTAAAGTTAAAGAGGGAAACAAGAGGGGGATGAAAGAAAAGTCCCATTATTTTTCATAACTTACCCGTACCACGAATCTTTAAAACTGTTTTTTTTTGCATATTATACAGTACAAATCAGATCACCAAGTCTTCTCAATAACGCAGTGTAATAGATATAGAAGATCCTGAGCTTTCTTCTCAGAGATATTTAGTTTCTCAGAAAACTGGGGTGGGTGGGGTGATGTGAATTTTAAGATGTTTACGTTTGCTGAAAAACTATTTTAAATGTTTTGCTTTATTCCTGCAAGAAATAATCATTTCAACCCATCCACTAACTAAAATTCCAAACGGGTATGGGTTTTCATGGCAAAACTAAGAACCACTTGGCAATCAAAAGCCAGCAAGAACTTAGGGTTTTCTAATCTGGCAAGTGATGTGCCCCAGGGCCCAGTGAAATAAGCTGAGACCTGATTTCTGTGATTGAGATGCAGAGTCCCACATCCTCCTCACCTGTTGGCACCCTGACTGTCTGCTGGGCGTCCGAGGTGCGGTGGTGCTCGTGCTGTGTGTGTGACGTTTGTGCCAGCTCTTCCTCCTCGGCCTGCCTCAGCGAAATCTGAATGTCAGATAAGGAGTACGTATATCCATGGCCAGCAGGGCAGATCTCCTTAAAATGATCTGCAGAAAGGAAAAGACGGTGCTTAAAAAAAGAAGAAATCCCAATCCATGGCTGAGAAAGATAGAAATTGCTGCCAAATTGTGATTACAACCAAGTATAATGTTATTGTTTTATCCACAGCAACACTATAAGCCATCCATGTAATACTATTATGTACAGTATTATGTACCATAACCTATCCCTTATTAGCAGCATTTGTCCTTGAGCCATTTCTAAAGAGCAGATTGCCAGTTTCATGGAACATGAGAACAGCTACAGACATGAGGCCATCAATCCCATCTGGTCGTTAGAAGCTAATTCATCCTAGGATCAGTTCCAGGTGTTTCTTGAAAGAAACCAGGATATCGACTTCAACAACATCGTTCCACACTCCCACAACCCTTTGCGCAAAACAAGTGTTGACTTTTTCAGTGCCCCTGAGTTTTTTGGAGGATTTAATGATATCTCACCAACAGGATGTTGGGGGAAACAGGCTGAAAAGCTCACAGCATATCAGTGATAGACAAGGAGATGACAGAAGTGTATTTGTAGAAAAATGTATCACTGCTTAATGTATGTTCAAAAACCTTTGAACTGAATAGCCAAGATATACATGTATAGTGTCACCAATGTAACTTAAATTGACTGCAACCGACAAAGAAAAATTACATCATTTTCTTTGGGTTCTTTGGGAGTTAGGTTGTCAGTTCTAGTTCTAGTGTTAAACAAAAATGCATTTATTAACTCTGACAACAGTCTAATGTCTAACACAGCAGTAAGTGTGTTCTGATGGTTGGCAGCAAATTTACAGTAAATGAGTCTACCTCAAGCTCATTCTGAGCAGTACTGCTAAAAGCAGCAGTTTTTTTTTACTAAATGAACATATCTGTGGGGCATTGCTGAACCTCACAGGCTAACCATGAAGGAACAGACTGAACACTACTGGTTGTACTTTGCTAAAACTGTATCTAGGTATAAGCAACACTCTATCCACATGAAAAAGCCCTGCATTGCAAGATTCAATTTGGACTGTATGATTACCCCACACATGACCCAAGAGAGAGGAGAGTCTTAAACTATTTACTTTGGAAGCACATGATAAAAAAAGATAAATCAATGATGACATCACCCTGATTAAGCCCAATGGGAGTCAATGGATGAAAATATTCCCTTTCGCACCCAGAGGCGATAATGTCTATGACAAACACAGACGAAGATGAAGGAGGAAAGGAGGTAACGCGATCGGAAAAGGAAATTGTGGGACAGCTGTTCACAGCCAGGGAGCAAAAGGATCCAGCCCAGAGACCTCTTGCCAACTTTGTGATTAAGCGTTTGAATCACAATTCTCATGATTCACAGACTCATACTGTAGCATAGTGCTACTTAATGCTGTGCCCCCACATTCTCTCCCTCCACCCCCAGCGATCTCCCCAGTGATCAGAAGCATCACTGAGAAAGAGCACAGTGATAATACATCTATTCACAGAGCTCCATCCCTGGGCAGCTACCATGGAGGTCCACAACAACTAAACTTTCCCTTAAAGTATAAGAAACCGCAGCATGTCGTAACATTTCCTCCGCTGCAGATAAGATCAAAAAGAAAACAGGAGATGACAGTCACTTCTGATGCTTGTCCCTTATTATGAAATGATCTGTTGTGTTTAAGGGTGGACTCCCAAGAGCTGAATAAAATAATACATGCACAGTAATAGAGAATATGTTTTCCTGTGACAGAAATAAGATAATGTCACTTAATAATAAAAAAACTAAGGACTCACAAACGATAAGATGTTTGATATTATACAATGGTAAATACAGTACAAAGACAAAAACATCTCTTCAGTGTGCAGCAGAGGAAGAAACTGTAAAAGCAAGAAGCTGTTACTGTACATTGCAGAGTCCAACCTGTCAAAACAGCAGCCCTCATTGTCAATATTGTCCATTCTACTGAAACAAAAGTTTTTTTTTCTGGTGCAGGTGGAACTAATCCAGAGTAAAGAAGCATTTTTAAAAAATCCCCCACACTTCCATTTGGCCTGTACTCACAAGAACAGAGGTCACAGAGCTTAATTTATCCTCAGGGAGAAAAAAAAACTGCTAGCCCTTTAAAACACACCCACAAGGTATATTTTTTAAAATGTACTGGATACTGGAATAAGGGTTTATCAGTCAGAAACAGAAACAGAAGTAATTTCTTAGTTTCTCAGCTCGAAGTTGTAAGACATGAAAATCATTTCTGTCCCATTTAAAAAAATTGTCATTGTCAATGTTTTGATGTTCTTGATAAGTAATGTTTCATCAGTTTCCTGCTTTGAAAAAGCCCATGGCACAGGAGGTTTCTCAATTATCTTTTTACTTATTTGAGATAAACATATATCCAGTTGACGCTTGTTATTGTTGTTATTGTTATTTTATCTTAAGAGGGGTAAAATTTATCAAAGTGACTTCATTGGGTGTATGTTTTTTTTTTCCACATGACTATACAAGTGAAGTACGTTTAAATATTATTTTTCTAAATGGCCTTGTAATGTCTAGAGACAACAGAGACATCCGGACCCTTCCACAGTGAAATGATGATACAGCACGCTGCAGTACTCACCTGTGTCAGGCAGGGGGCACCTCTCACAGCCTTGGCCCCAGGCTCTGCCCACTCGACTGCAGCAGCAGATCTGTTTGGTGATGTGCTGGGAGAGAGGCAGCGAGCAGGTCCCTCCCGATACCGACCGGTAGCACATGCCTGGGGTCACAGAAACTGCTTTGTCCGCTGGAAGAGAACAACATTAGCCACAGCTTAGTTTCGGCTGCTTGCACCCCGTATCATGCTGCTGCAGAGAAGACAGATGATCAAAGAAACAATCCTTTGAGTGTGGATGGGGTGAAGGGTGTTAAAGGACGTAAATGAGATCATCACACTTCCCTAAATGCTACAGCAAAGGCACATAAGTAAATTCATAAGCAGAAAAAAACTGCTGCATATTTAACTACAGTACATGATGAATGCTATGTGATATATAGTGTATGATCAAATAAACAGCAGGAAGTGGCACTGTGGTGCAGTTAATAGCTTGGCAGCACTGGGGCCCTGGGTTCAATTCTGGACCTGGGGAGCTGTCTGTGTGGAGTCTGTATGTTGTCCCCGTGGATGTGTGGGTTTTCTCCAGGTGCTCCGGTTTCATCCCACAGTCCAAAGACACACTGATAGGTTAAATGGAAAATTGGACGTGGAGTGACTGTGTGCACCCTTCGATGGACTGGAGTCCCGTCCGGGGTGTACACTGCCTTGGTGCCCTGCATGCTGGGATAGGATTTGGCTCCCGTGCACCCTTGTTTTGGATAAAGTGGTTAGAAAACTGATGGCCAGATAAACAACAGGAACAGCTTCTGATCAAAACTACTGGTATTTATGTTTCTATATATCAATACAGTAACATGGACAATTAGGCTCTAGCTCAGGTTGTGCATTATCACAGGCAGTAAAACACTCACATATACAGTGGCTTCGGGAGGTGTCCAGCATATACCCAGGTGCGCAGGTACATCTATAGCTTCCTCGCGTATTAAGGCACATGGCATTCCTACAGATGCCTGACATTAGACATTCATTTATGTCTGAAAACACATAAAAAACAAATATTAATTGAAAAGACTGTACAGAATTTCTAACAAAAGAAATAGACAGGAAAATTATACAGATCCTCATAAAAACGGAAAGCAAAAGTCTTAATACTTTGCAGTAAATGAGTTTTACACAACATACAGTTACCAGTGTACAAATATTAGGACTACATTGTATAGGCCACAGCCCTGCACCTAAAATGATAAGCTGGCCTTCTTAATTCATTATCATCATTACTGAAATTTGTTCCTATAAGTAGTATAGTTATATGTGGTATCTGCATACTGATCAGACCTTGTAATCTTAAAAAAAAATTGAAAACCGAAAAGGGTAAGAAAGAGTAAATGATACCATTGCATAATTTCACTGTTGTCTTTGAAAACCACACAAGCAAATGCCTTTAATGAAAGAACACCTTTCTAAGGAATGGTTCCAAGTTTTAAGGTGAAAGTAATTAGTGGTTACACCTAAAAAGAGAAAAACACAATCGTGAATAGCTTGCAGAAGACGTGACAAGCAATCTCTTTCATGTGTGTAACCAAATACGCTGGTGTGTGCAAGAGATCAGAGGGAAAATGCTGAGAGAAACCATGCGCTGTGAAATCACAGGATACAAGATCAAGGGTACTCTTCAAACAGCGCACCTGAGGGCATACAGTACAGCACACAGGGACCAGCAGCAGGGACACAGCTCATTTCCAACCACTACAAGAAACCCTTAATCACATTTAAGGGTGGGCGGAGGGAGTCATGATAATTACCAACTAGGCTACGCTGTCTAGGCCAGCTAAATCAGAAGATCTGTACAGCAAGAACACCTGCATTAAACCCTTTAACTTGTTTGTGCTGACAAAACAAGCATTTTGCACCACTGCATGATCAAAACATTCTTGTAAGACAGGCCGTTCAAAATGACAAACAACAACAACAAGAACAACGGTTTCATTTATTTGCTACATACTTGGTGAGCACACAAAGACAACAGCTGTGAGACATGAAAACTACCTTAAAAACAGCATAGCAGAATACGTGACATGATGCACATATTATTCTGTATCTTAAGGCATGAAAACATAAAATGGAAAACTGGTTATTCAAAATTTTTATAAAGCCTTCTGTAAGAGACATGCCAAAGGGATAGTCTGCAAATTCAAAACTTTTCTACAGCAGGTACAACAAAAAGTCCCAAATGCATTCAGTGCATAACAGCAGTTCTCCCCAAGAACCAAAAATATTCCCATACAGTAACTTTTCATTGGATGGAAAGGGTTCGGAGTGTTCCACCCAAATGGCAAATGCCAGTAAAACAGCATGTGATGGCTACATTTTGCCATACAAGTAGGTCTAATTGTCCCACTACAAATGCAAACCTGTAGTCACAGCACAAGTACAAATGTCAGAACTGCCTCTCCAACACTGCATCTGATATGCATCTAGAGCTATATTGCCTTAAGTTACACAGCAGCTTCTTATTTTAAAATAACTGAAAAATAACCATTTCATTTCTGGGCACCAAATACAGCTTACTTTTCAACATTTACAGAGATGCTTCAGCACATCAAACGGACCTCAGGCGAACGCAGATCATCAGACAAATGTGTTGGCATTCCTAATGATGTAAAGCGAAAATACTGCACCGCAATCTGGCCTAAAACCAAAGAATCGTTCTTTAGATAAACAATAAAATACTTGTGTCAACATATAACTAGGTAATGAAATGCTTCAACAGAATAAGCTACTCATCACATCTGTTAAAATGGTAACATCCAGAAAATCATGAAATATGACTTAAAATATACGGCTTTAAGCACCTCTCCAGGAAAACACCAGAAAAAACGTGCAATGATAAAGGTTCCTAAACTTCGGTCTTATGCAGACAACAACACAACAACCTATTTCATTTTTAACTTAAAGGCTTTGATTGAGCAATTCCCTGTTTCATTTGGGAAGCAGGTTTGTAGTTAAAGTCATTGAATAACTATCCTAAAAGTAGGAAATAAAACAACAAAAACAAATCAGCTGCAGTTCTGTCACTCCCCTACCTGAAACCCAACAAAATCCTTTCCACAAAATGCACATGATATAAGAACATAAGAACAGTCAATAAATGACAATCATCCCATCTAGCCTGTTTGGTAGTTAGTACCTAATTGTTCCAAGGACCTAGGCTAACCTTTCTTTTGTAGTTCCGAACTCCCGAAATCTGATGACTATTATGTATAATAGGGCCACAGTACAAATGAGAGGCCACATTGCTCGTGACAAGGGTCATGTGATAATCTGATATCGCATATTTCTCAAAAATACGTGACCAACCAAATCTTGACAAAGATTTCCTATCTGGAAACAATGCAGGTTTTTTATTTTCTTTGATACAAATGAATATTTGAATCTGAATTTTGCCTTCTAACACTGAATCAAAAGAAAAAGATTATCTGTATGCTAATACAAGTTCCAAGAAAGTTGATTCTAATAGTGACAACTCTTGTGTAGAAATGACCATCTCCCTTTTTTTCCGTACTTCTTAATACAATTTCACTATTTTACTGCAAAATATACAAATTTAAATATTCAGATACATTACATTGCATTTCACACCCTCCTAGTATGTATTAAGTTTCTTTTAATATATATATAGGTTTATTTTCATATATAATATAAAGGCATACCTTTACTCACTTGGGTTTTGCTAAATTAAACAAATACAACTTTCTCCTTGTGACCTAGATTGCAGTTCACACGTTAAAAGCATTAAAAGCATTTTGTTGTATACTTGTTGAATCACAAATAGCTGGTCTTCCATTAATAACTCTGAAAAACTTAGGATCCAACTAAAACTCAGTATTTCTTAAAGAGTGCTGGGTCTCAGATTTAACATTCTGCACATACAGTACATATTAGTTGTTGGCCAATTTTTGAACATCTCACTGGAAGCATTGGGAAAAAATGAGAAGAGGAGTAGGGCTGAATCACTTCTTTAAAGCCCTGGAAATGACAGAAGACCCCATCCTGTGTGGTGCACATGAGAGGACACAAATTCAAGTCATTCTTAGGCACTGAATGGGTTTGTTTGATAATGGTGACAGACTTAGAGAAAAATCCGTTTGCGGATTTGGCAGTCTTTCTGAGGCAGGAATTACAAATTATTCAGGGAATGTTGTTTCAGAGGAGCAGGACAGCAGAGCAGAAGCTGGCCAATATATTTTGAGAAAATCAGTCAGTAATGTCCTGCAGCCCCAAAAAGAACATAAAAAAATATAACATCTTGAAGTGATCAGTAAAAGCAAGCGAAATCAAAGCTGGATAAATTACTAAGCTTGTTGGCAACCCCTGACTCCGCTTTGAATTCTGCACACATTTAAAATGTCCCTGTCAACAGCTTTATGGGGGGAAACAGCAAACGTTTTGCCTTTTATTTCTTTTTTTCAGAATTTTCTGATATAAAAGATTTGCCTAGAGAATAGAAAAATGCTTTTACACATGTAAAACAAATAAATAGAAAATATGACTTCATGTACCGTGTGAATCTGAAGAGCTGCTAATAAGCTAGCTGGAAGACCTCAAAGGCAGAAGACTGTAAATTGTGTAGTGGTGTCTCAGTCTGCTTGATACATGTACTGTAGGCATCCCCTTGTAATGTTGCAGCAGGATAATGAGGTGGGAGGCCTAAGGTCTGTGGTTATTTTCAAGGTTCTGCTTCTGCTTCTGGCTGCTGGTGACAGTCACTGAACATTACAATGGCAAAAAATCCAAATGATCCTCTTATAACTAACCCAGCAGGACAAGGCATCATTCTAAAAGGAGAAATGTCTTCTAAAATACGTACATATTAATCATGTCTTAACGCAAGAAGTCCAAACATGTACAGTATAGTAGCAACCATTAATCCAACGATTTCTTTCTTCACTTGGAATTCCTTGACATTTCTTTTACTGATTGCTGCTTATCTTTCTAGATATGCTGTAAAAGCAGGTGAACGGGTTCATCTTCCACCAAAGAGAGCATCCACCCACCACTTTAAACACGAATGCATGCACACAACTGTTCATTAAAAATCTATCATTCTGAATCTCCGGCAAAAAAAAAAAACATTCCAGCTGTCCACTGAATTGACTTACCTTTAACAGTAAAAAAGACAAGCAATGTGTTAGGATATGTAGTTGAAAGTGTAGAATTGAAATCAAAGGGGAGTTGTGTTGAAATCATACAATGCAATTGTAAGATCTTATTTAGAAAATTGTGTACCACATTATATTGTCAATTCAATTAGCTACTAATTTCCAAAGGGCTAGATGTGCTAGATAGCCTCTATTCATTTGAAGCCTTTCATGTGTTCTACAGGTAGGCATCTCCTAAGTTACACAACAAAGTGGGTAATTACGCAAGGCCACCAAAGTCAACAAAGTCAACAACAAGGTCAAAAAAATAAAAATACAACTATGTGAACCAATTCCTCATAGCAATATAGTTAAATATCATAGGACACACTAACTAGAAAAACTTCTTGTTGCTTCTTCAGTCCAACACACTTGAGGAAGTACTGTGTTTCTGTGAATTGTACTATTGAAGTAAAACTCCACAGAACATGTGTGCTAATACATGAAAGAAGAATGCTGCTGTTACTTTCCTTGTGAACCTTGTTAACTTGCCATGTTTTCCAAGTGTAGTGAAAGTTGAGTTATTAGGGTTTTTCATTGTACATGATACATCAGCTCAAAAAAATTACTAATTTTCACTTCTGAAAGAACCGTGACTTTTCTTTGACAAGTGATTATACAACAGTAAACTCATTGTTAGCTAAACCTCCTGCCTTACGTTTTAAATATCTATGAGAAACTTTGCACGATCTGTGAAAGGCTTCATATCATGCTTCATTCTTTAAAAAAAACAAGACTGTTTGACCAACGCAATTTGTCTGTCAATACATGTGGGAGCCGTTATGTTCTGCAGCCTATAAATAAGTAAACAATGATCCCAATCTGAGCTTGTTTAAGTTGGGACACAAAATCTCTTCTGTAGAACATTCCTAAAAATATACCTCATATGTAAGAATGGTAATTTGAGAGGAACAACAGTCTTTATGGAACAGTTGAGAGCTAGTTGGTTTTGTTTTGCATTACATAAACAATTATCAAGGGAATAAAAAAACATTCCAGGAAAAAATGAAAGTATTTAAAAATGTAATGGATTTAAAAAAAAATCCACTCATTAACCTTTCTGTTGTCTATCTGTCTCCTTTCCAATTAAGATAATCTGAATGATACAGATATATCAGTATAAACAAGTTCTTTAAACATTAGTCAGTTTTCTATTTACAGCTCGTGTGTACAAAAGGTTGAGCCTCAGAATCAAAAACGTTCAATTCTTGCATAAGGATTTTTTTAAATAATATTTATTTTACTAAGACAGTGATTTCATTCACAAGCCGTCCAAACAAGAGCTCTTACCAGAAAAAAAAACTGTTTGAGAAGAATTTAAAAATATATGCAACCAATAACAAATGTCAGAAAAGTATTGTGCCTCATTGTGAAGTAAAGCAATTCAGTTTTTATCTTACCACATACATTTTAATATGATTACTGTTAAAATATATACCTCAATCTAAAAGGAGTATTCTCAAGCAAGACTGAACAGAGGCAGATGATATTAAAAATCAAAGAACATACAGACAGGGAAAAGATAAATAAATGCAATGATTTAAAATGAGTAACCTTTTTACAGTCAATGAGGAGAAAAAGAAATGTAACAGGGTCAGTACCTTGACAGTGAGTTTGGTTCATTTTCTTGTAGCCTTTGGGACATTCAACTTTGCCATTGGCAATCACTGCATATGCTGAAAAAAAAATTCAAGGATAATTAATGAAAAATTAGAGAATAATAATTAACATAAAACATTATGAGGCTCTATTTAATTATATCTCAATTAAAATTGGCATAACATACAGGCATGGTGTGTTACTCACAAATACATAAGGACCTAAAACTGAACCTTGCAGAACACCCCAGCCTAGAAAGCACATCTCTTAGAACTGTAAACAGAAAGTTAGTTAGTTGTGCAGAAAGTTAAAGGGCATTACTGGCTTCAATAAATAAAATGTAATAAAATATCAACAGCTACATTTAATGGAATGAATTTCCTAAAATAAAATCCTATTTATTAAAACATACAGTTTTTGGAAAAATGTCTGAATATATCCGTTTTTGAGACATTTTACAGTTGATAAGCACATTCATAAAGAATTTTGATAAAATGATGGTACATATTCAGTTTTCACTTGAATAACTGATTTAAAGTTATAATTAGGACATTTTATTTCAGTATTTTGTTTTCCACACAAATTTTAAATGATTAGCTACAGTATTTTATATTCTATGTTGCAAGTTTATACTTTCCCCTTCACTTTTCAAACAACTTTCCCCAGAGCACTTAAAGTATGTGTTTAGAACTTTGATAACACTATATACAGTACAGTATCTTATATTGACAACTTTCAGACTGTATCCAGTGTGTATTGCCATTATTCGCAGATGAATCAGTAAAGAAAGATATTAAATTAATTTCAAAGTAGGCTAAGACACTATATTCAGTATCAAGTCAACCAAGTAAATCACATATCTTTGACATGATGGGAGATTGATGTAGCTCAAAAACATCTAATGGGAGATACATGCCAAGGAGGAAAAGAAATTCACAGTTTTAAAAAAGTGAAATGGGAGTCTCAGAGGAAACCCTATTAGAAAACTTGACATACAGTGAAATACATCAGGCAATGGTCTCCTGTGTAATTTGGAAACATACTACAGAACAAAGGAAAATGGAAAAAAAACATAATGTTATTCCTATTACAGTAAGAACAGAATATAAACAATAAGAGATTGCCTGTGGGATGCTGAGTCAGATTTTTTTTGCTTATCTTTTCTAATGCTCCTCAATCTTTTTTATTGTACTCCACATTGCACGTTAAATTATTTTTGTATGAAAAATCACTGAATTGTTGATCTTTAGGATTCAACTTGAATTATCCACATCTTCCTTATTATAGAAACTATAAATTCAGAATAAGAAATATAGCCAAAATTAGAATAACAAGCATTCACCGGGAAACCTTCATGGACCTCTTCGCTCGACTAATAATAAAAAAGAAATAAAATCCTATTTTTGGCTCTTTCCTGTCACAGCACACCCTGGGGAGAAGGTTTAAATTCAGTGCATCTGGCCCAGACTACAGCTGAGACACAGTCAAACAAGAAGCTGTTGATACAGACAAGATTGAGACTGTGCACTCAAATTGTATCAAAGGCTGTCTGGCAGGCAGATACAGGATAAACAGGCAAGGGCAAGAGAGCTCCTTATTTCTTCATCAATCCAGACACCACCAGTTCAAAAATACTGGTATCATGTGCATCACATCTGCTGTTACCTCACTGGCAACCACAAAGGACCGTCTTCGCCAAAGAATTGAGAAAAAAAAAACCTGAGACAAATTTCCAAGTTTTCACAGTATTTCCTAAAACATCAAATTATAATTTTCCTTCCTCTTTTTTTCTTTGCGATACAAAAGGAAGCATTAAAAACAAAGGCAGAAAGCAATCTAAAAGTCTATCCTGAAATCTGGCTGTCCAGTTTTTTGTCGTTCTCCAGTGGCCAAATAAATTCAGGGTACCTTTTCTAGTCGTAGCACAAACTTACTTTAGTCAATTCTATAAAACCATTGAGGCACATTTCTGCACAGGGAGAATTTGACAAATTGGTTTAATTCTTTACTTTTTTGACTGTATAAACAAATCCTTAAATACACAGGCTAAATATATGCAGAATATCAAACTTAGAAAATTATATAATGTGCTCTCAAATGCATCTCCACTGTAGGAACACTCTAAATTCAGTATCAAGTCAACCAAGTAAATAAACATAAAACTACCAGTACATATTGTGTGTCCTCATTGCCATTGTCTTGCATATTTATAATAATCAACTGGGGTGTATTTGAACTCAAAAGATGTTCCATTATTTTCCCCCAAAGACTCTATAAAACGTTATTGGCTGTTTCATTGATTTTAATCCATCAAGGCAGGCAGCCTTTCAGGAGATAATCCAAAACCCTATCAACCTGTGGAGAGGTATTATAACAGATCACTGATTAGTGCTTACTACATTACACTCAAACGTCAGGAGGAAGCAAGTGGGATATTCAGTCCTCTCTGGAGATGTGTAAGGTGGTGTAGGCTAGTAGACATTGTACACCCACTGTCTATCTGCTAGCCTAAGTGTTTCCTATCCAAAACCTAGCTTGCAGTCATTTCAAGTTCACTATAATCATATTCTAAACATACTGTATAGCTATGACTGACCTAATACTATTTTTCACTGCAAATTACTGATCCAGCAGCAAAACAAATCCTAATTCCTCATGGAAAAAATTTCAGACTAAAAGATCTCTAACTCAGGCTGTGACAGCACTTGCATTGCTCATAGGTATATTTCTCTCCAAACGTGAGGAATGCCGTTCAATAACTAACAGTGTGAATTTGCCCTTTTGCAAACAGTCTTTCTCACTCGGTGGATGGCTGATGTGTACTGACATGTTGTGGTCTATAATAATGTGAATTCACCTTGTTTTCTCCCAATAAAGGAAGCAATCTGAGGCATTATTGTACTTTTCAATTGAAGGACATAATTCTCCTTCAGCCTGACAGCTGTGTGCAAATGTATAAAAGATCTGTCGGGAACCTCATCGCATTGCGTTGCAGTCGAGACTGCTACTGTTTGCTTTTGAACAATAGTTATCATCATGGCTTTCTAGTAGCGACCTAAAAAGCATTCGTCTGGAAGAGCAGATTAATTGAACAGTTAATGCTCTCTGAACAAACCTGGTTCAGAAACTGCAACACTCTTTTACCCTACCAATTCCAAAACGTCCACCATGTAGGTTTTACAACAGGAAGTCTGACTGACACTTTAAAACTATGTGACATTTTTAACCTGCCACTGTTAGTTTCTTGAAAGACACAAAGAACCTTCCTTCACACTCCACTTCCTCATTCTACCCTATTTGTTGCCTCAATGAAGACATTCAACATGAATTTATGCACTGTTGATACTTTATCACAGCAAAAACCAATTCATTTCGGGAGCTTATACTGTAACAGTCGACTTTGTTAAAGCCGTCATCATTTCATGTCATTCTCCTCTTTTTTAAGGAAAAACAAATCTAACAAAATAGTATTATAACACTCAGACCACTCCAAAGTCATGGCTAACAAGTGAAATGAACTGTTGCTGTAGCCACACAGCAGGAAGGCTGGAGGAGAGGTGTGTGTGTGTGTGCCACAGAAAGCACAGCTACTGTAGCTCAGTCAATGTGTTCATCTTCTGAGGAGTTTTAATTTGCAATGTAGCACACTATGAATTATAGTACAGTTCAGACCACCATGACTGAGGATCCCTTCATAGTGAATAGAAAAATAAAGTATGTCCATCAAACTCATTCAGAGCCCTGCTCCACACATTATTTGTCACACTTGATACCCGCTTAGGAGGTGGTTGGGATCCCTGAGAGAGATGCATGAGGCGTTAAAACTTTAATATGCTGTCGTTCAGAATTTAGCACCTGGTCAACGGCCCTTGGTGATTTCTATGAAAAGGTGTGTCAAGGAGCACTCTGTGGAGATATAAATGAGTAAATTTTCCCCTGTACTGAGAACAGTTAATTACAAGCATGCAGACTGGAGCTTGGACACAGTAGCTTACTGGTCTGACTTAGCTGCTTTTCTCAAGTCATGCTTAGTCACAGAAACTATGCCACAAACAAACGAAAGAGCTTTAGTTGGTGGGCCTAATTTCTTTTGGTTGCGAACATGATAGAAAATACTGTCCTGCTTCAGCACCAAAGCCAGCCCCTGATTTGATCAGGAGCAAAACGAATGTGATATTTTGACACAGTAAAGCTTATTAAACAGGAGTAAAATCTCTCCAATGAGATGTCAGGCTCTCCCAAGTGTTCCCAGTATCTCAATATGCAGCCAGTGTTGCCTCATCCCAAAAAAAGATGCTACAATACACAGCAAAAAAGACATTGAATGTATAAAACATAAATAATTTATATTTGCTAACTGTCTTTTTAATATATAGTGATTTTAAGATGTTTTAATTTAGGTTAGTAACATTTGATGATGCAATTATATGTCTCCGGCCAACTCCGATGAGGTCACTGATTCAATGCTTTCTTGTTTCTCTGGTTCCTACATAAAAGTGACCTCATACCTATTAACTTCCTATTTCTTAAATAATTTAACATATTTAACTGCATGCTTAGTTTTGTAGCTGTACAGCTTCTAAATCTCTCATTTCTCCTTCAGTGATCAAGGATTTCCACATTGACAAGGCTGTTCTGACACTGGCACAGCTATAGTAGATTGACAGAAAAGGATCCCAGTCACACAGAATCCACAGACATTTTCTCACTGTATCACATATTTATTATTGTGATCTCTGCCACATAACGGCAAAATATGCATTGCAAGATGGAAGTGTTTAGAACTTTTCTAAGTTATGGTGCTACTTCTTTTCACTCCCCTGACAACAACTTGGCACCACGCCTGCACAGAATAAATATGTCTGCTTTGGGAACTATTTTTCAAAGCAAAAAAAAAAGTTAGCTTGCTCTTCCTAGTAGATTCTGTCACAGCATTTGTTCTAGAGAATATAAACAATCAGTTCATGAATCAAAGCCTTCTTCTAAGACTACAAGGCTTCTTTGAGGTTGCTCTTCCAATGCAACTTGCGCTGTGAGCTTATATGACAAAAGAGAATAAGCATTTCATTTTTATTAG